AGACAGAGAGAGAGAGTCTGAGGAATGTGGAGTGCCTTCCCACGTCCCCCCAATGATAGGGACTACAGACCCCCTATTGAAAGCTAAAAGCCAGTTGACCGAGGGCACCACACTTGACCAGGGCTCTCGGCCCTGACCAGACCTCCTCTTGGGGTCGCTCCCCACGTGCGCCCTGCTCGGCGTGCCTCTTGGGCTCCCTTGCCTACAACTGGACCAGCACGAGACACAGCCGAAGCCACGCTATCGGACCTCTGCAGAATAAACCTCCAAACCATAACTGTGTGTCCATACACCCACCAAAGTCAGGGTAAAACTAAGCCCGGACAACTGGTGGCTGACGGCTGAATGACATGAACTACAAGCCTCCGAAAAACTGTAAGTACACCATTGGCAATCATTTCTTTTCTTTCACCTTTCTTGTACCATGTGTATATGCCGTTTTTTCCCAAGTGCAGTGATTTTTTTTCAAATATCTGAACAAGTGTCCATGCAAAGTGCATTTTATTTCTTTCTTTCTGTTATCTACTATGTTTGTTTTTTTTCGTCATGGTAGATCGTCGTATTTTTTAAGGGAATCAATCCTCATTTTGCTTGCTAGAGTTATTTCCTTCTTTGGCGCGTTTCTTTTTCATATCTAGCTCGATCATGCTAGTCTAGTAAGCCTAAATCGTTTATAATGCTTAAATCTTTCATTTATGTGGGTGAATTATACTGTGCATTCTTCTTTAACTTAATCATACTAAGCCATGCGGCACCAGGTATAGGTATTGCCATATTCTTGGCACCTTTCTTATTCTCATTATCTCCAACTGTATTAACCAACGCTATATCGATGTTCAATTCGTATATTATTATTAAGTGCATTTTTTCGGCTCGGTTTACCAATGCATTTGTGGGATATTCTTGAATACTTAAATAATTTAGTTGCATTATCCACAAACAAACATTTCCCCCACGCTTCCCACCTACCCCCATCCCCCATCATCTTAAACTCCTTCCCTCTCTCCTAACCCCCACCCGTTAATCCCCCCTCCCTCTCTATCTATTTTCAATATTTCTGTTAAGGCAAATAGCATTCAATTATTTTTTGTTGTGATATTTACTTAAAATAGTATTTCTTTTAAAAGATTGCGTTAACTTTGGTAGCTGATGACCTGTCTTAATGACCTTTTCTGTCTTGTGATTCCTAGGTTTATTATCCGATATTCTCTTGAAGTTAAGCTTCGAATGTTATATTTTGTGAGCCGCTTGACACATAGTTGTTCAGGTGAAATCAGATCAGATCATGTCAAAGGATGATGATACCTCACTTTTTAATGACCTGTATTAACCTCGATTTCTTTCTTTCCACATTTGTTTATTTATACGTGTACAATATTGTGATTTCATCATTATCCCGTTGTCGACGTATTTATGATAGGGTGATGAATTTACTTTCGGTTTGCATGAATATATCGGGAACTGTAATAATATTAGTATAATTCATCAAATTAAATCGTATGATTTTAAGTTATTATTATAGTATATTTGTGCATATTCTGAAGTATATTTCGCCGTAATTATTCGTCTTCTTTATAGGTATATTTTTTCATTAATCATTCATGTATTCAATTTCTTGATTATTGTGTACTTGTTTTTTCACAATATTATTTAATTTTACATATACTAGCTCTTGCTATTTTTTACGTATATTTGGATAACAACCTCATTTGACCTTACTTAGGTAGAAGGTACTTATAGCCATCTGACTCTGCTCGACCCAAAAACACATTCAAGCTATTTGTATTTACATCTTATTCAATGATCTCTGTGTTAAAGATTAATTATATTATACAGCTACTACGATTTCATGTTGTTCGTGAGTTTCGCTTATCTTAATCACAAACCTCACCTCATCATTATTACATGGTCCTTGGTGACAACCCCCAGCTGGGTATGGACATGTAATTAGTGTTAAGGTAATTAATATTAAGCTGTCCTTTATGTGCTGAGCTGCACACTTATCGCCCATGCGATTATGCACCACGCTGCGCCCTTCTTATAAGACTATACGTGAGAGATTATCACTGGTATTCCCCAAGAAGATGGGATGCTTAATTTGCGTTCTGCATATGAGTTCGTCCGTTGATATCCCTTCTACGATTGGGCCCATCATCACTATTCCTCAGGGAATCTATCTCAAGTTTAAGTATCACTCACAACCATGAGGGTTGCTTTTCGGCTGTCAGTTGTCTCAGGGAAGCTGACCCAAACCCGCTTGCATCATGCATTGCTCTGCAAGCTGATCTGTTCTGCAACAGACCAGTCACCGTTTCATTCATTTTACATACTAATTAAAGTACCATTTTGTATGATTTTGCATAGTAGTTGATTAATATTGCAATTACCATAAGTTTATTGTTATTAGCGTGAATGTTTTTTTTTCATGCAGTCAGATCGGTGATTATTTTCATTAAGCTCAACCTACATTGCCACCCCTACCTACATACCTAACCCCATCCCCCCCATCCTCACCCATACCTCTTTTACCTCTCCCCCCCATCCTTCCCTTGGAATTACATGCGTACTGTTGCCGGAAGATAACCAACTTGCGCCAATCGCGCATTCTTGTCTTGCATTACATTTTATCGTGCAAATGTTGTCTTGAGAAAGCATATTTGATGTAATGAGTCGCTCCTGAAGTATGAGGACTGCATTACCAGTCTAGATTTGCTGTTGGTGACGTATGATAGACAACTTCAATGAAATGAGATACATTTACTATTAGTCAGACGTATACTGTATGCACTATTGCACTGCACTGGACACTGCTGAACTCTGCATTGTTGCATTTTCCTTCTTTTCCTAAAGGAAGTTAGTCGTTCAAGACGTTCTTGTGAACTGTGACACCTTTTGCTTCCTTGTAGTTCTGCACAATGCTTCTCTCTCGTAGATTTTCATCTGCTATCTGAGACAGTTGCAACTCAAGCAATTCCTTGCGTACTATTGCAATTGTCTCCCTAAGCATGCTCCTCTGTCTATCCTTGGACAGTGCATTATTAAAAAAAAAAAAAAAAAAGCAAATAATTGAATTAACACTGTCACTGCAATTTGATATATTTTGATTATATCTTACAGCCCTTCCTATCACACAACCCTCCCCCCCCTGTTTGCCCTTCTGTCTCTGCCTCCAGTGTACTTATTTCAGAGAACGCCAGCACCAGACCGTCACGGACGACGGTTAGTAGCGTATGCTGAGTGATCTGAGGAATGAGGAGTGCCTTCCCACGTCCCCCCAATGATAGGGACTACAGACCACCTATTGAAAGCTACAAGCCAGTTGACCGACGGCAGCACACTTGATCAGGGCTCTCGGCCCTGGCCAGACCTCCTCTTGGGGTCGCTCCCCACGCGCGCCCTTCTCGGCGTGCCTCTTGGGCTCCCTTGCTCACAACTGCACCAGCACGAGACACAGCCCAAGAGAGAGAGAGAGAGAGAGAGAGAGAGAGAGAGAGAGAGAGAGAGAGAGAAAGAGAGAGAAAGAGGTAGAGATTGAGAGAAAGGGGCAGACAGAGCAAGAGAGAGGCAGAGTGAGAGAGTGGGAGAGAGAGAGAGAACCAAAATGAAAACAAAAGATGAGACTAAGGATGGAGGAGGAGAGACAGGGACAGATAGTCAAAGAGGCAGGCAGGTAGGCAGATGAAGTGATGTCACCAAGTTTTAAATCATGAAGTTGTAAAAGTGCTGTGCAAATAGTTTTATGTTGTAAAGTGATGTAAGTGACATTACGAAGCTCAGGAAGTGATATCATTACAGTTGTCAAATTTAAAGGATGTGTTGTCACTTTTCATCCTCCATATTTACTTTCACATACTAATAATTACAGTCACATATGGAAGTGATGTCAGGCTATGTCGCAACTGGACTTCTGTGACAAGTAAGTGATCTAGCTGCCTTTGACACCAATGGTTATCATAGGTTCCACATTCCTCATCTGGTCAAAGTGCAGGAATTTCTTGTATACATTGGATGCTTGGATCCCATTCATTACTTGCAATTGAGATGCCTCCTCCTTATTAACCAAACCCACCTAGCTGTTCCTCCTTGAAGGTCAATGACCCTAAGCCATCAACTACTTCAGGTTCTACTCCCAAATTACTTGGCACACACTATCGTGCCGATCTCTGCCTTCTGCAAAGCCTCCCAGTGTCTTTGACCTCTTCTCTGAGGGGAATGATGCAAAGGGTGAGAGAGAGAGAGAGTCATAGCTCGACATGAACTTTGACATCTCCAGTTCAGGAGGACCAGTTCAGAGGTCTCCAAGGTTTTGTCTCCAAGGTTGAGATCAAGCTTGATAGTGTAGTGCCACTGAATAATGTGACCCTCTCCTTCGTCTGCCAATGAAAGAACAATGTCCCTACGGGTTTTGGGTTTGCTAGCCATCTTGGACGTGTCTAGTACACCAATGGAGATCTTTTTATGTTTCTTCACCCCGATCTCCTTGACAACATCATTGAAAAGATTAACTGTTAAGTTTTATAACTTTAGAGCTTTCAACTCAAATATGAGGATGAGGTTCAGGTTGAAGGTCTACAAGCTATCTGCTTTAAGTACTAGCCTGGCAACTTGGTCTGAGTGACATGAACTACTGCAGCAGCAAGATGAGGCTGCAGTGAGAGAAATCACACCAAGGTTGACTTTCTGGAAGACTTCAGATTCAGAGCCAATACAATCAAACAGCCAGGCAGAGACACAAACACACACACACACACAGATTACATAAAAGCAGATCAAACTGATAAATGACACACGACAGCAGTAATACTAATCAAAATGATAATCATATAATGATAATAATAATTTTGACACAATAAAAGGGAAAAAAGGATGAGAAAAAGAAAGAAAAGAAAAGAAAAAAATATATATATACTGCAATAAGCACCCTGACATAAACCAATAAGGAGGTACAGAAAGCCTCTACACTTAATGTTATCAACCATCTTACTTACACAGCCACTGACCTTGTTTATCCTGTTGAGTGGAATGGGTCTCTCTCGAAACATGCCTGTGGTTAGCATGTGCCTTGTGCCAAACTCCTCATTGATACTTTGATACTCATGTCGGCTGCAGCCCCGAGATCTTGTTAGGACATAATCAGCAAAGTTGTGGCTCAAGGGTTGGTACTTCTGCATGGGTACAACAAGGTTAGTTGTGATAAATAGTACTACATCAATATAACAGTTACTTGATGGAATAGTAAACACAAATGAAGGGAAACTAGGTTATTTACTTTACTTTACTTTCTCATCAAGCCTTAATATTAATCCTATTATTAATAAGAGAAAAATGATGATGTGATAAAAAAAAAAGAAAAAAAAGAAAAAAGAAAACAAGAGGCAACATTTCTATGTCCCAAAACCTACCTGCATAAAAGACTGTTTCCGCCGCACTGTGTGGTGGTGGTGTGAAGGATGGTGAGGGACACCCCCTAAGGCAATATATCCTCCTCCATCCCTTGAGTTCTCTTCCTCTTCTGCGTCGTTATCCTCCTCTTCCTCATCCTCATCACTGTACAGCATAAACTCATCAATCTGGTAATAAACAAAAGTAAGGCAAAATGAGCACATGCTCAGTTGGTCTAGGGTCATCCATGACCCTGATCACACACTCTTTCCCTAATGCTACTTTTTTGGTTTGTGTCAGACACAGAATCCTGTTTAGAGGGAGACTAATAAAAATACAAATCATACTACTTTGATAAATTGAAGTTTCCAGTTTTCTTATTACATTCGCAGACAGATACTGGATTGGACCTGGATGAACTCCTACTGTGGGCTGTAATATCAGCTTAGAGTGGTTGTTCGTCAGGGAGATTTTTATTTGTGTTTAAAGATTATAACTCCTCCCTTCGGAATATTGGGTAGGTTACACTTTATGAGCACAAATGTTGACTGAAAAAGTGAGCCAAAAAACAGTATGATTGAGGAAGAGATTAATCCGAGTTATATAAAAAATGGACCCTGTGAGTGATGATAAAATCAACATGTATGATGATAAATATGTGCATGAGAGAAAAAGTGAAAGAAAATATTGATACTTTAAGATTCAGTGCAGTTTTGATATATATGACTAACAACATTTAGTTGAGTCTGGTGGTCAGTTTATAGCTCCTGTGTGTCTTTAGCCAATACTTCTAGCACTTCCGCATTGCTATTTGAATATCCTATTACAGTGATGGTTTTTGCTGGTCTTTTCTGATGAAAATTTGATAATTTTTTTAAATATATTATTTTTATCAGATATTGCTATTAAAATTGTCAGTGAAATTATAATGTCTACAATAATAATAACAGCATCAATATTGAAGAGAAGAAAAAGAAGAAGAAGAAGAAGAAGAAGAAGAAGAAGAAGAAGAAGAAGAAGAAAAAAAATCAAAACAAAATAAAACAAGAAAAAGTGAAATCCGGTGAGGTCAAGAGGTCTACTAATTAACTCCTTGGTGGCTAAGCACTTGTGAAGCCATTAATGTGTCGAGAAATTTCATGAAACAACACTACAGTCAACTAAACATTTTTCTGGCAGCATAGGGTTTAAAGAAATTAAATTGCTGTAAAATTACATTTTTAAAATGAAACAAGATATCCAAAAATAGATAAAGAAAGAAAGAAAAAAAGAAAAATAAAAGAAAAATCACCACAGATTAAAGAGAAAATAAAGAATGAACAATAAGAAAAGCAAGAAAGTGTGGCAGTTATGCCAAAACAAAAAGAAAAATGGCAAAAAAGTTAAAAAACATTTACGCAATGACAAGACATTTTATAACTTTTTAAGGATGCAAGGGAACCCTGTAAGATGTGGTCAGGCATAATTTAAAGGGCTATGAGTCAGAAAAAAATAGTAATTTAAAAAACAAATGAAACAATAAAAAATTCAAGGACTTTTCAAGACTTTATGGGTTTAAAATAAAATTCACAGACTATTTAAAGTCTCTACTCACATGTTCATGAATAACTATACATTAAAGCATAAAGAATCAATATCAGGTCAAATTTTTTGAAAGGCAATTATAATTCAACCAAAAATTTGGTATTCTGTATTCTCAGCACCCACTGTTTGCTAAATAATTGACATCAGCGCTAACAAGCGCGTGTGATGTCACACCATGTATGTGACTGTGAGCAATCCAGACAATGCACAATGCGAGTAGGCTACCCAACAACAAACATGGCAGAGATG